GGTGTGAGGCCTTATGGGCCTGGGGGGGGGGGCTCAAGGGGCCAGGGCACGTGTGTGCAACATGCCGAGTATGAGGGGCAGGCAACGTGTGAGCGTTCTGTGACCCCCACCCTGGTGCCATGTCCCCATGCACGTGATTGTGTCGCACCAAAACGCCCGTGTCATCATGTGTGGAGCTGCCATGGCCTACATGCAAGGGCACCCGTGTGCCCAGAATGGTTGTGCCAACACAAATGCACGCGCACAGACACAGCCCCATGCTTGGAGATTTGCAGGGGGGCATCCTAGGTGCCTGGGTTCTGCGTGTGCAAGCACACAAGCGCATCCCTAATACTCGCGTGCGAGCATCCTCCATGCCTGGCTCGCGTGTTCATGCATGTCCTGGGTTTCTGGGTCCTATATGGACATGTGCCCTCGGTGCCTGGATTCTGCATATGTGTGTGTGCATGTGAGTGTGCGCTGGTGTGCCCCAGATACCTGGGTCCTATGAAATGCTTTTGTGTGCATCTGTGCCCAGATACCTGGGTTCTGTGCATATGTCCTAAACACATGGGTTGCCCGTGTGCATGTGTCTGTCTGCCCCAGACACCTGGGTTCTGTGCATGCGTCTGTGTGCGCGTGCACACATGCATGTTAGACACCTGGGTCTTCACATGTATTTGCCTGTTCTGGGCACTATGTGCATGTTGCCAGACCCAGGTCGGTCTCTCCATCCACTGCACGTGTTGCGAGCACGTGTCACACCTGCAACCCCGTGCCTGCGGCTCTTTGCACATCCCTGGGACAGTGTCCAGGCCCTGCGTGTGCCCCGGAGGGCACAGTATGGTACACATCTCCCCCGTGTGTGCGGCCACTTGCACGCACTTGGGTACATGTGCATGTGCACAGCACGGCACCCCACACATCTTCAGAGCTGTATCTCCTGCACATGCATGCGCATGTGTGGGGCTGGGCCCCTCTCTGCCATGCTGTGCATTGTGCCCCCAGGGATCCCCCCCCCCCCACCCCGGGGCCCCGTCCAGCGTTGCCCTGCCCCCCCCCACGGTCCCCCCCCCCCCCAACTCTGGGCCCTGGGGTAGTAATTAGGTGTTTGTTTACGATGCTTCATTTAGCCACAAACTACTAATGCTCCTCGCATGCGTGTGTGCATACGTGCACCCGTCTGATGCAAGAGCAGGCCAAGCAAAGCAAGGGGTGCCGGGGGCTTGGATGTCTGGGCTCTCTCCAGGTTTGGGGGGGGGGGAGGGGGCTAGGAGCCAGATGCCTGGGTCCCTGATCCAGGTGCAGTCCTGGCCTTGCATGCCCACATGGCCCCTTGCAACGCCCGCCTGCCCTCATGCCCATGGCTCTCACCTGGTGGCCTCCAGGCCGTGCCGACATGCCAGCTCCCTGGGGACCAGTCCTGACCGAACATCCTACCTGGGCAGAAAAGGGGGTGAGTGAAGGGGTGACATCACCCCCCCCCCACCGGGGTGCCCCCCCCTTCCCTGTGCCTGGGGGTGGGGGGGCAGGGCTGGTGCCGCCGGTTCTGGGCCCTGCTATAAATAGGAGCCTTATAAATAATGCAGCGTGATCGGCTATAATTATCGGCGGGAAGTTTGCGGCTGGTAGGATGCATTAGCGACCCCCACCCCGGGGCCCCAGGCCCTGGCCTCAGCAGGGCACCACTGCAGGGAAGCTTACAGCGCTGGGGGCAAAGCCACAGGGAAGCTGCAGGGTCCTGGCTCCACAAGGAGAAACGGGGGGGGGGGGCGGGGGCCCACAGACTGG